CCTCTATCCTATATAGTAAAAGGGTAATATGCAAACTGACCCTAACAGCAGAAAGACTGGGAATGACTGGTCACTATGACACACACTGACCACTAGGGGGCAGATGCTCAATGCAGGAGCTGCCCCCTGGTGGTCAGTGCGCTCCCACAGGGGCAGCTCTCTCAGCCACAACAAGCCAGGCTGACGGCTGCCAGTACAGGTGGGAGCCTCTCCTGCCTCCTCAGCAGTGCTAAGGATGTCCGACTGCAGCTTAGGCCATGCTCCCCGCTGGCAAGTGGACATCGCCCGAGGGCTCCCGGGCTGCCAGAGGGATGTCTGACTGCCAGTTTAGACCCAATCCCCCGGGGAGCGGGCCTAAGCCAGCAGGGTGGTCATCCCCGAGGGGTCCCGGGCTGCGAGAGGGCATAGGCCGGGCTGAGGGGACCCCCCCCCCTCGCAGTGCACAAATTTTTTTGCACCGGGCCTCTAGTTATAAATAATATTTCACAGATGTGAATGTACAAATATCTCTTTGGGACCCTACTTTCATTTCTTTTGGGTATATACCCAGAAGTGGAATTGCTGGGTCATATTGTAATTCTCTTTTTAAGTTTTTGAGAAACCACCATACCGTTGTCTGTAGCAGCGCTATCATTTTACATTCCCACCAACAGTGTGCAAGGGTTCCAGTTTCTCCACATCTTTCCCAATACTTGTTCTTCTTCTGGGGTTCAGGATAGAGATAAGACTTCGGGCGTTGACAGTATAGAGGTTGTATTTTAAAAATTGCTCCTCATTTTTGTTTTTAGAAAGCAGACTTAGCTAGTGCTTATTTATCCCCCAGCATTTTCAGCCCTCAGTTGAGACAGGAGTTTTTCTGTGTTGCCGTGTAAATAAAGAAAATTGTGGTGATTAGAAGTGTGAAGATTGTAATCACCAAACTAAAGTATAACTAACAGCCCTAACCGGTTTGGCTCAGTGGATAGAGCGTCGGCCTGGGGACTGAAGGGTCCCAGGTTCGATTCCGGTCAAGGGCATGTACCTTGGTTGCAGGCACATCCCCAGTGGGGAGTGTGCAGGAGGCAGCTGAATCGATGTTTCTCTCTCATCGATGTTTCTAACTCTCTATCCCTCTCCCTTCCTCTCTGTAAAAAAATCAATAAAAAATATATTTAAAAATAAAATAAAATAAAGTATAACTAATAGTCATTATTACTTCTAGTGTTATAGAGTTGATGTTCATTATAGTCAGTATAACTTTGAAGACAAGTTTTATAGACATTTTGACCCATCTCTTTTTTTTTTAACTATGAAAATTCTTGGGGTTTTTTGTTTGTTTTTTAAGATTTTTAAAATTGATTTTTTAGAGAGAAACATGGATGTGAAAGCAAAACATTGATCTGCTGCCGGTTGCAGGCCCCCCCCACTGGGGACCAAGCCCTGCAAACTGGACATGTACCCTGACTAGGAATCAAACCCAAAACCTTCTGGTGCACAGAATGACGATGTTCCAACCATCTGGCCCACCTGTCCAGATGCTAAATACATTTACTTTAGCATTTACTAATTTTTCTTAATTATAATTGAAACTTTAAATATACATATAAATTACCTTACTTGTTTTTTTGGCATGTAAAAACTTTTATAAGTTCTGATTCAAAATGAGGTGAATTAAAACTTGAAATTTTGTTGTCCATTAAGGTGAGATAGATTCCTATGAAATATGTTAAATTTTTAATGTTATATGAAAATACAAGTCATTCTATTTCTATTCAACTCTGAACTTTGACTAGCTTTTATTTTGCCATTTTCAGTCTGTATACTGGCAAGTCTTTAATAACGACTTAGTACTTGACTTACAGCACACTAAAGTGTGAAACCACTTTTTTTGTGTGTTTTTTTTTCAAATGAATAGCATTTAAGAAAAATAGAATTTAGATATCCTGATTGAAAATGTTTTAAAATTTAATGTCATTTTAAAGTCATATAAAACTTTAAAAAGTTTTAGCATAGCATTTATGGTATTGACAATATTTTATTTGAGGGAGAATCTAATGGACTAATTCAGACTCTGAAGTTGATGATTACAGAGTCACGAACAATACAGTCGAGCATTTCTGACCTTCATATCTCTATGAATATCTGCCAGGAATTGCTTTCTTGACTCCTTAGGTTTAGCCAATTTGTTACAACTTGTTTGTGCTCTTTAACTTTTTTCTTTTTATATTTTTAAATTTATTTCAGAGTGGAAGAGAGAGGGAGAGAGAGAGAGAGAAACATCAATGATGAGAAAGAATCATTGATTGGCTGCCTCCTGCACACCCACTACTGGGTATCGAGCCCACAACCTGTACATGTGCCCTGACCAGGAGTCAAACCGTGACTTCCTGGTTCATAGGTTAATGCTCAACCACTGAGCTATGCCAGCCAAGCTGTTTGTGCTCTTTATTTTATTTTATTTTAAATATATTTTATTGATTTTTTACAGAGAGGAGGAGAGAGGGAGAGAGAGTTAGAAACATCGATGAGAGAGAAACATCGATCAGCTGCCTCCTGCACACCCCCCACTGGGGATGTGTCCGCAACCCAGGTACATGCCCTTGACTGGAATAGAACCTGGGACCCTTGAGTCCGCAGGCCGACGCTCTATCCACTGAGCCAAACCGGTCAGGGCTGTTTGTGCTCTTAAATAATCCATTTAAAGTTTCTCTAAATTCAATATTTACTATCTTAGCTTTTCTTTATATGGAAAAATATAGAGATTTTTCCTTGCAGATCAGTAGTGTAAACATTTTAGCAAGGAAAAAAATGTAGGCTTTATTAGTCTTCCAAGACCAAAAAATTAAGTTTTCTATTTTCTATATTTCAAAAGATTTGTTTTCCCCATCAGATGCAGATCAACAACGACGAGAGAAACTCAGAAAGGAAATAGCACAATGTGAAAGGGAGTTGCAAGTAACTAAAACTACAGTGCAGGCCAATTCTAAAAATAATTCCAAGTCATCACTTAACACTCTACAAAAGGTAAGATGATCTTTTTTCACCTTTTACAAGTAGATATTTCTAAGCTATTTCATCAGTGGTACAACCTGACTTTTTAGTAACATGTTTCCTATTGGTCAGAAACAAACTTTTCCTGTAAAGAACCAAATAGTAAATATTTTAGGCTTTTCAGGCCACACAGTCTCTGTCACAACTATTGGTGGACTTTAACAAAGTCCTACTAAAATACAATAGAAATGATTAACAGAGAGATAGAGATAGAGATAGATATACTAGAGGCCTGGTGCATGTATTCGTGCACTGGCGGGGTCCCTTGGCCTGGTCTGTGGAGAAAATACTTAAGATTGAAGGCAGAAATTAAATGGGGAAATAACACATATTCAAAAGAGAGTAAGATAATATTATGAATAAGTCTATGCCCAAAATTTGAAAATTTAGATGACATAGACAACTTCATATCTATATATAGGTATAGGTATAGATATATAGATATATAGATATATAGATATAGATATATAGATATAGATATATAGATATATATATATAAATATATATAGAGAGAGATAGAGATAGAGATAGATATACTAGAGGCCTGGTGCATGTATTCGTGCACTGGCGGGGTCCCTTGGCCTGGTCTGTGGGGATCGGGCTGAAACCGGCTCTCCTACATCCCCTGAGGGGTCCCAGATTGCAAGAGGGCAGTTCTCGGGTGACACATCCTGGAATCGGGCTCCCTCCTCTCTGATTCTGGGCATGTCACCTGAGAACCACAGCTGCCAAGTCACTGCAGCTTGGCAGCTCCTGCATTGAGTGTCTGCCCCCTGGTGGTCATTGCACATAGAACCTACTGGTCAGATGGTCGCTTAGGCTTTTATATATATAGATCCCCCTACAGTTTGTGTATTAGAAAAAAATGAGTTATTTGTCTTGACTTAGGTTTTTGTGGGCCATTTGGGCAATGCACATTTAGGCTGCAAGTTTGTATGGTGGCAGCATATAATTACAGATTCTCAAAGGCTAGTGTTCCCTTTTCACTCTGTACCAGTGTTCAAGATGGGCAAATTTCTTTGCAAGTCACCTAGTTGAGGTATGGCCATTGAGAGGATCCCAGAGTCATGAGCATGGTCTCCTAGATCATCCAGATCAGTCCTTGAGCTTTGTGTTTTGTCCCCCAACACGCTTGATATGATAAAAACTACTGCCTGTTAATAAAAGCCAGTTTCACTGCTCTGCTTACTAGGTATCACATTCATATCTGACTCCAGCGCTTTCCATTGTATATATCAGTAAATGGGAATGACTAAAGGACATTTGTACCACAATAATGAATCCAGGTTGTTTTTCTTAGATGGGTATGGGGAACCATAAACCAGTTTTTAGTTGGGATGTTTAGTCATCATACTTTACAAAAACTACACTGGCAGGAGGGAAAGACAGACTAGTTATGAGACAGTTCAATAACCTGGGGAAGAAATGATTAAGACCTGATCTAAGACAGCAGAAGGGAGCACAAGGGATATATTTAGGAAATAGTTAGAAAGGAGAATTCCCCAGGACTTAGTGCCTGATTCGATGATGTGAAGAGCAAGAGGCCAAAATTAAGGAGGTTCTCAGGCTTTTGGTGTGGGCAGCTGGGAAGATGGTGAAGGGATGATAACAGGACAAAGTGCAATGTTTTCTTTGGAGGAGGGGGTAATGTAGGGTTTGAGTTTGCTGGTTTGGACATGCTTCATTTGAGGTGCCTTTGGAACATCTCATATAGTCAGTAGAGAGTTGATATAAGCATTTCTCTCAGACTGAAAATAAATTTGGGAGTCCTCAGGGAAGCTATAATGCTTAAGAGCCCCCAGGCCTGTTGCATAGATAGAAGGACCAGGAATAGAATTGCTTCCTTTAGAATAATTCTGCCAGACGCTGTGCTATAATTTGCCATCTGGGAATCTGTTCATCAATATTTGATGCACATGTGCATTTTCATTTTTAGTGATTGGACTTTTTAACTGAAAATTTAAAATATTTTTCCATTATCCAGCATTTTGACTATATTAATAAAAGGGTAATATGCTCATTAGGGCTGATGTCTTCCGGACGACCTTCCAGACAAAGCCACAGTGGCTGCGGGGGCCGAGGCTCAGGCCAGCAGTGGCAGCAGCAGCGGGGTAATATTTTCCATTATCCAGCATTTTGACTATCTATATTAATAAAAGGATAATATGCTAATTAGGGCAGATGTCTTCCAGACGACCTTCCGGACAAAGCTGTAGTGGCTGCGGGGGCCGAGGCTCAAGCCAGCAGTGGCAGCAGCAGCGGGGTAATGAGGGCACCTTTCCCTGATCCACCAGATCGCCTCCCACAGAGGGAGGCCAGACTGCGGCTTAGGCCGGGGGCCAAGGCAGAGATGGTTAGGAGCGATCAGGCCAGCAGGGGAGCAAGTTAGGGGCGATCAGGCCAGCAGGGAGAAAGGTAGGGGTGATCAGGCTGGCAGGGGGGCAAGGTAGAGGCGATCAGGCCGGCAGGCAGAGGTAGTTAGGGGCGATCAGGCAGGCAGGCAGAGGGGTTAGGGGTGATCAGACAGGCAGGCTAGTGGTTAGGAGCCAGCGGTCCCGGATTGCGAGAGGGATGTCCCAGATTGGAGAGGGTGCAGGCAGGGCTGAGGGACCTGCTCCTCTCCCCCCCCCCCCCCCCCCCCCCCCCCCCGCGTC